ATGAACTTTGGACCAAACAACTTATGGTGCTTCTTACATAGTTTCAAAGCTTTCGAAGAGTTTGAAACACTCTGAAAATACTCCACGGCTCAGTGCCAGCAAGCGGTCGAAAGCCGCCTTCTATACTTTTCGGCCAGCCTGTAGTTTGGGCGCACCCTGTAGTATCAGACGTGCAATGGCAGCGTACTAGGACACCGTACTCGTTATTGCCCGACTTTCATTCTAAAGTGCACCCGCATCTTCTTATCCAACGGTATCGCCTCTTTCACGAGGTTACGCTCGTGCAACCATTATCTACATCAGATCTTTGATAATGCGTAGGTAGCTCCTTACAACCAGCGTTATGGCTCCTTCTGAGTGCTATCGACATGCGTATCGTCCTCCAATTCTTTGTTGAGTTTAAAAGATGGGTTGCGGCGTGAATGTTACAAAATCGATGCTGCTAGTGGGACCGCAGGACGAAATCTGGCAAGACATACGGATCGTATGATACAGTGGTAGAGACTAATGGCTTCTTCGTTTGAAAACATAACACATCATTGATTTCCCTCTCAGGAACAACATAGTGTTTGAGTCAGTAGCCGGTTTGGCTACTTTTTTCTACTGAGCATATGCAAGCCTGTAATTCAGTAACTTTATAAAGGTTACGAATATGCACAATGTATTTTATAGATACAATTACTATTTAAAAGCTATAGACCATCATAGTATAAAGTCAAGGTTATAAGAAAATCCTCATCCCAGTTTTCAGCGATCGTATAAGCTAATGATAAGGTGGACTAAACATCGCGAGAGCGTTCGTCCTTTAGTAAAGAAAGGAGAGGGAAAATCGAAGAAAAGAGGATAAATATGAAGAAGGATGAGTCTTCAAGAATTCAATACCTGCCGTCGTAAAATTAATGGTTCACGGATCAACAAAAGGAGTGGTGTGTCAGGAACAGTGACGCAAATATCGTTTTCACATTTGCTTTTCCTACTCTCAACTTGCTCTCTCAACAGATCTTCCCTTTACTCTGTGGTACAATTTTGAACTCGGAGGTATTGGAAGGCCAAGTTGCAAAGTGAGAAAGGATTAGATACCTGTTTCAGGTGCGTGCAATCAGTCATAGCGATCATTACTGAAAACAAAGGAATTTTCAACTTGCCAACGAAACAAAGGAAGATTTACAACTTGCAACGCAAACAACTTGAAGCGGACTCAACAAGTTCACAAAGATAATCACCCCAGTATGAAATTAGGGCGTTGAAAGTAGGAGACCGATTTCGCTAGGCGATGTCGAGCAGAGCATGAATTGGGCTGGGGTTCCTGCAGTGTGAAGGAATACAACGCAAGTTTTAAAATCTCTAGCCCGACAGGTCAAGCCTGCACTATCGTGCCGAGTTATGTTGCAGAGGCGGTTAACAGCACTCGAGAAACTGATTTAGGAGTTCGACTGACCTCCTTCACAAGACACGCACATCTTGCCACGATCCGGAACGGTAAAGCCAGCGGATACGCGTGATCTACTCTTCACTCGCACTTTAAAATCCCGTGCACGCGCATCGAATACCTTAGGGCACGCTAGCACGCGTCCCGACTCCACGATTCTTATTTGATCACTACTTGGCACCCTCACTAAGACTGACCGCACCATCAGCGCGCACTTACCCAGGGCTCCGACCCCCTACTTCAAGCAGGGTCAACCCTATCGTTGTTACTTTTCGAAAATTTTTTACGACCCCCCTCCCCCAAGGTGGATTTGGTACGACCCCCTTCTCGACCCTCAACCACCATATTCCTCTCTATAACATTAACTTCCACTACCACTCAACCCTCAAAACTCCGCCCACTTTTTCCTCCAAAAATGCCGTCGAGCGGGGGGGGGGGGGGGGGGGGGGGGGGGGGGAGAGGGCGGGAGGGGGGGGGTCAATATACATCACCTCTGAACCAGTAAAAATTTATCAACGCATAAAACCCCAACAAATTCCCTAAATATATTCAATCACGACAAAATATTAACTCTAAATATCTACCCTATAATCTCACTGAGTTTCCTTTCTCAAACCGAGGCGGTAATACACCGCTGAACAACGCGCGAAATCTTTTAAGTCAATATGCGCGGCCTCTAACATCGAAGACAAAACCTACTACACCACCACACCGACAACCTACTACCCACGAAATCTTAGTTTCTCCTCAATCCCACCCCTGATTTCGAGCAACTAAAGTGAGTACGACCCCCCCTCCTACAAACTCAACCAGGTACGACCCCCCCGTTGTTACTCGTAACAACGTAGGGTTGACCCTGCCTGGCAGTACAACCCGAAAATGCCGTTTAATATTTACCGAAGCGGCGGATTGATCAGCCATCAAAGAGAGGATATAACGTGATTCTGTCACAAGTGAAACTAACGCGATAAGTTTTTGCTTGTTTGTGTGAGCTTCAACGTTGTCATTTCACAGATTTCGAAAACGTTGTTGCTGAATGAGAATTCGATGGCACATGAGCTATATAAAAGGGCTAGCTATATAAAAGAAGGAGGACCTAGCAGTCTGAGATATCAAGCGACGATGGATCTGCTTCATGTGATTCTTGCGATGCTGGTAAAGCTCTTTGTCCTCCAATTTTCGAGCATTTTCATCACTTCTTTAATGGGCGTAATTTCAGCTGGCCACTTTAGCGTCAACACAAGACGACGATTCGTAATGCGTGGCGGGCTCAGGACAGGATTCGTGGATGCTTCCATCAGTCACAGACTCTTCCACCCTCTCAACGCAAAAGCCACACAACAACACATCCCCCCTCAGAAAGCCACACGACAACGACGTCAAACAGAACAACCCCTTGTAGAAGCCAAAAACAACGCCTCCACGCAAGACACACCACCGACGTCAGTAAGCTACGACCAACAGACCGTCAGAAGCAACAAACGACACCAGAAGCAACAACAACGACGTCAGCAGCAACAACAACGACGTCAGAAGCAACGACCACGACAGACGTCAGAGGCAACAACAACTTCAGAAGCAATAACAACGACATCAGAAGCAATGACAACGACGTCAGAAGTAACAACGACATCAGAAGCAACAACGACATCAGAAGCAACGACAACGACGTCAGAAGCAACAACGACACCAGAAGCAACAACAACGACGTCAGCAAGCAACAACAACGACGTCAGAAGCAAAAACAACGACGCAGAAGCAACAGCAACGACGTCAGAAGCTACGACCACGACGTCAGAAGTAACAACGACACCAGAAGCAACAACAACGACGTCAGAAGCAACAGCAACGACGTCAGAAGCAACGACCACGACGTCAGAGGCAACAACAACTTCAGAAGCAATAACAACGACATCAGAAGCAATGACAACGACGTCAGAAGTAACAACAACGACATCAGAAGCAACACGACATCAGAGGCAACAACAACTTCAGAAGCAATAACAACGACATCAGAAGCAATGACAACGACGTCAGAAGTAACAACGACATCAGAAGAAAGCAACGACGACGACACCCACAACAACGACAACAACACAACCAACAACAACAACAAATGGGCTTCCGTCGAATCCCAGTAAGCACTCCTCAGACCAAACCAAAATGATATTCATTTTCATTAGCGGCTTCAATCCTGATGATATCTTAGCAATGTACTTGCTATGGCTGTCTGCACAGGAAGGAACATTCTTTCAATTGCTTACATTGCTTAGATGTCACCGCCAAATGAAACTCCATAAGAGTCATTATGTGCCACAAAACGTTCGTGCCACTTTCGAACATTTTTTTGAGTTGACCCTATCTCAACAAAAAACAATATCCGTCGTCGATGTGTGGCCGTGCTCCCAGAAGGTCGGATATTCCAAGCTGGAAAATTCAAAGAGGTCGATTTCGGACTCCTTTTTTGAATTTTTCTTCTGTAAGGTGATTCCATAGCAAGAAGTGTAGTTTGCCTTTCGAAGCACGCTGATAATCGCAACACGGTGGACCTGGTAGCAGTTCTCAACCAAGCTTCGACATCAAGAGACGCTATTTCCGAAGCACGTTATCTCGGTCAAAGACATATTTTATTGAATTATGGGCGCCATAGGTTGTTAGGCGTGTGAGGTCGTATTTAAGCCTGTCAGGCGTTGATCAAAGGAGACCTATGCTGTTACAAAGCCGAAGCTGAGGGAGAAATTTGCAGTGGTTGGTTCGAGTTTTGCTTCCCATACCTGGAGTAACACGTTTTGCTGTATTTGACAGTTGTTCAGCCCCTTCTAAACACCATCTAGCCACTGATGCTTCCGCAGATCATTAGCATAGAGCAACTACTTCACCACCGAAGTAGCGCCGCTGTTCGGCCACCGCGTAGGGACGCAATAGGATAGTGACGTCAATAGAACTCGCGTTACACTCTTGTGATTACGGGTCAATTCAAGGAGATTTCATTTGTCCATGCCTCTACGATTTTCCAAAGGAGGGCAGACTTCAATCCTCCACCTGAGTGTGAAGGTGTCACAGCAAAGTAATTCGTGCTGGTTGCCTTCAATGGTAGAGCACAGCAGGTCCAAGTCGGCCAGATCGCCTTCCTGGGTCAGGATTTTCTCCAGACTGCAGTCTTCAGAGCAAAGCAGGCTTGACCATTCTGATGCTGCTTGGTGAACAAGAACAAGCATCTGTATCGCAATACAAATGCTGCTCCTGGCTTCGACCGATTTGCACCCAGTAGAAGTTAATAAATCAAAGTGTGGAGAACATGGCTCTCTTCTTTTTGAAATATGATCGCTTTTTCGATTTTGAATCCGAAGAAAGCAGCTAAGGTGGGCATGGTTCGGGTATAGGTTACTCACGAAGTGGGCTCTTCGTAGCCTACTTGGTCATATTCAGAAATCGCTAAATGAAGTTCTGGCATGAGGCACAAAAAAGTGGCACGAACTTATGGGACAACCTAAGGCAAACCTCGGTGTTTCTGACTGGTGTAAAAGAGTCAATTGCAGGAATCAATCAGATCTGCTCTGGTAATCGTGGTATGAACGATAGGATTAGAAACATTGCCCGTGATGGACATAATTACAGAAGGTTACATTCCCAGTACTCCTATCTAGCATGGATAAACCCACTTATTGCACTGAAGTGATTCAGATCGAGACTTGCTCGAGGATTGGTCAGAAAAAATAATGGTGCATTCCTCCGACCTGCAACCAATATGCTAAAGATGGTGAGCAGTTCTATAGGAAAATTGGTCTCCAGATCCCTCTTATTGCTTGATACAGTTCATTCTGTAAGGCTTTATAGAAGGAGATTTTTAAAAATCTGAGGTTCTTTTATTGACCTTCGCGTACTCTCGAAAACTGCAACCACGCGGCTCCTAACGCCGAATTTGCTGGTCAACTTACCAAAAAACAAAAACCTATAAGGTGTCGTACTGCTCAACATAAGTAGGAAAAACAAACCAGAACACTTACCCAACAGTGGTCTGAGTAAACAACATTATAGTAAGTCGTTGCAGAGGTATGACTGCAATTTGGAAACGTCTGCGAAAGAAGTCGCGGATAAATGTACTACAAGTGGATCTACGCTTCCTCCTCAAGTGAAGGAAAACATTCATCGTATTCATAAGAGCAGTGCACGCTTCCGTACTGATGCCATGAAAGAGGTTCTTCTATGATGTTTTATATTATTCTAGACCATAAATAACCGTGATTCATTCAGGCAATCAAATTCTGGTGGGGCCAGGTGAGGCGCGTTCATGGCATCGGAATGAAGGCCATCTTCAGATCATGGCACGAATACAGCACCATTAGATACTTTACCCTGGTGAGAAGCTTTAATAGTAACGTCTTAAACGAGAGAATTGACGCAACCCTGAAAGGAAAAGGACAATTTACCAAAGCTCCTTCCGCTGAAATCGAATGTCTTGCCAGGAAAGGTCATTTGGTCAACCTGGCCATTCGAAATATGATGTACATGTGTATACGCGCCTAAGGACG